GAATAATTTGGCTCATAGATTAAGTTCCTTGCCCAAGGTTTTACAGCTAGTATTGTAGAATCTCGATCAGAATTCAGATTAGACCAATTAGGAGAGTTTAAGTTTATTTTATAGTTAGTATTCTGGCTATACTGTCTAAATACATGATGTTCAGCTGTATGGAAAGAGATTTTAAGCTTTACCTCAGTTTTTCCTTTTATATCAGTGGTTGGGAGGTGGGAAGAGACAGCAAAAGTCTGATGATGTTCTTTCCAGAGGGTTTGGCTCAGGACGATGCTTGTCTTGACAGAAATCTAAATGTCAGCTTCTTTCTTTTTTAAGGTGAATCAGTAACTGAAAAACAAGTCAAAAAATAGAAAGTATTTGTTTGACTTAACTTCACACAAAGTGAGTAAAATAATCCTGTGTTTCCAACATAGTATCCTTTTATAAGCAGATGATCCTTACTCAGAAAGCAGAAGTCTTCAGTGTACTACAGAGCATGCAGCTCCATTGAAATGAGGTGTCATTTGTTTTCAGGTCAGTTTATATGTAGTTGCTGGTGCAAGAGTCAAACCATGAGACTTCCAGGAGGAAATACCTAGTCATAATGCAAGTATACTCATGTAAAAGCTTTAACAAAACTGTGCTTTAAAATTCCTAACTTCCTGCCCTGGAGGAATCACACAGTGGCTTGGGTCTCGTGATTTGCAAGTGTATGGCCATAAATTCAAAATCAGGGTGTCATACCTGTGCTGAGAATGATGCCTGCAGCTCTACTTTTGAGCCTGGCATTTCTGCTGTCCACGGTCAGGCATCACCCAGAGGCCAGGTATGTGTGAGTACCACACAAAGGCTTGCAGCCCCTGTGAGCACCATAGCTGAGAAGATGTAAAAGCTTCCCGCTCCCAAGAAGCGAGCACACCTGTGAGCACTGCAGCCTCGACCTTTGAGCACCACAACTGTCTGTCATTTGTTGCACAGCTCTCGGTGAACAGTGTGCCATCCGTGGTGAGCTCCATAGCTAAACATGGGTGAGTGTGGGATGAGGACAGAGAATTTCAAACGTGAGTTTAAATGTATTTTGGAGTGTGATTGAACAAAATCTCGCAATACACAGGGCTTACCCCTGTCTCTGTGCTCAGGGATCTCTCCTGGTAGTGCTTGGGGACTATATAAGGTCTTGGAGATCAAGCCAAGATCAGCCTTAATCCCTGTTCTATCTCTTTGGCCCAAACATTTACTTTTTAAAGTAAAAAAGAAAATTTTAGTGTTAAATGCTATCCTTGTATAATTGAAACCCAAGCACAAAATTTGTAAGTCTACAACTGTACTTCATGGTGTCTCACTAATAAAAATTAAAAAAAAAAAGCAAAAAGCTACTCCTTTAAAAAATTTTTATTTTAGGGATGTTGTTGTTACAATATTGTTAATGTTAGGGTTTCACACATACCACTTCCCAGCACCAAATCCTCTACCTGTCTCCACTGCTACCCTCCACCATTGTTAATGCCCCTGCCACCGCCGCCTCCATGGTATGCTCAAAGCTGTAGACCAGTTCTGGGGGTGGGAGGGGTGCAGGGGGACATGTTTTGCCTTTGGTTGTTTGTTACTCCCTCACCATAGTTCTTATGCCACATATGGAGAAAGATCTTTCTGTTTCTGTCACTCTCCTGGCTGACTTCACTCGGTATGATACTCGCCAGATCCATCCACATAATGACAAATTACATGATTTCATCTTCTCTTATAGCCAAGTGGTTTGTGTGTGTATGTGTGTGTGTGTGTATGTGTGTGTGTGGGTGGGTGGGTGTGTGTATGTGTAAGTATACACACAGTGGTTTCTTTATTCAATCATCTGTTCTTGGACACTGGGTTGTTTCCAGATTTGGGCTATTGTGAATAGTGCTGCAATAGACATGGGAGTAAAAAATGTCTTTTTTGAAGAGAGCTTTTGGACCCTTATGGTAGATGCCAAGAAGTGAACTTGCTAGATGCTCAGTCAATTCTTAGGTTTTTGAGAAGTATTCATATTGCTTTCCAAAGAGATTAAACCAGTCAACATTCCCACCAGCAGTAAATGAGGAATGTCAATGGAGTTGAGGTTAAGAAGCCCTTTTCCCCCACATACCTGAGAACACTGGTTCACAGTGTGTCTGACTCAAGGGTGTTGGCTGAGAGCTCATTGTTGTCTTGATTTGCATTTTTCATATACATATTGGCCATCTGGATGTCTTCCTTGAAGAAGTTTCCTAATGAGTGCCTATTGGACATCCAAGAGGTTGAAAATTTTGTCTTTGAGGTAAAGCCAGATTTGTAGATTTAGAACTCAAATGATGACCATTGCTTTAAAAATGCTTTTTTAAAATTTAGTTTATGATATTACAAAAAAAAAGTCACTGGACCATAAAAAGTAGCCTCTATGACTCTAGGAGGAAACTGCAGAATATTAGGTTTTGACAAGGGATCATTTCCCCTTGTCAACTTCTGACAATGTCTGGAGGTATTTGGAATTGTCATAATTGAGATTGGGGTGAGCAGTGATATTCCTGACTGGAAGTGGGTAAAGAACAGGGAGATGCGAGCATCCTACCATATACAGTTGCTCATCCACCATAGCATATTTGACTCAAAATGTCAATGGAGTTGAGGTTAAGAAGCCCTTTTATACAGTCTTCCTTGTGTTTGCCACATTTGCTGTATGTGTGTGTAAACCAACCAGCCAAAATTTAGTAAGCATCGACTATGAGCTTGCCATTGGAGGTCCAAAATATGTCTTTATAAGTATATTCTGTATAATAGTGCTAGTGACCCTGCTTAGATCTGTTTGAGCTGAGGAGAGAGAGAGAGAAGAAAAATGGCAGTTCAGGCCCAGAGAGAAAGTATCGTGGGTAAGGCTTTATGTTTGGCCAACACACATTCAATCTCCAGAACCATATATGGTTTCCAGAGCACTGGCCAGCTGTACCTCTCTCCTGCACCCCAAAAGAAGGAAAAATGACAATTATAAGTAAGCTACTGAGCTAATGGTTAATTTAGAGATAGTGCTTTGAATTAATTGGCAAAAGTAGTCACTTGGTAACCAGTATACTTATGAGGAAATAAAGAATTAATAATTATGTAGGTTTAAAATTCAAGGTTTGGGGGACCGATAGCTTAATATTTATAAATTGGGTATTAATAAAGATGACAGGATGAAGATTGGTCACCATTAAAATAAAATGTTCCGACATGGTTTGTTCTTCATAGATAATCTATCCAAAGATCATTGGCCAGAAAAAGTTGTCTCTGGAGTAATGTCACCTCCTGGGACAGAGTTAAGACTTTGCTTAGGACAGAATAAGTAGCCAGTGACTCAGAGGCTAATTTCTGCCATTCCAATTGGTATAAATTTAGTCTAATTCCTTCCCCTAGGACTGTCCAATTTAAGATTAAATTTTATACTGAAGCATAGTAGAGATAGGGTTATTTTGCTGTTTCAGTGGATCTTTTAATCAGCTTTAATGCAGTCCTGGGTAAAGTAAAAACTTAATCCTATCTCCCTTTAGGGCTTTTGCAGTTTGCCATCTCAAAGCAGAAAAGGCAGCAATGAAGCAGTCCTGCTTCTTTCAGTCTCTGGTTTTATTAGATTTCTTTCAGTAATTCTCTTCCAGACTTTTTTTTTTTGAAACTGCATTATTTGAACTATAAAATAAATAAAATTTTTACTCAAGTGAAATTTTAAGATTATTTTAGTGGAGCTCTGGATACATCCCAAACCTCAAGCAATCCCTTTTTCTGGTTTATTTTTCTAATCCTAGAAAGTAGGCCAAAAGAAATGTTTGTCCTTAATTAGTAGTTTAGAATTGTAGGAGTCACTCAGTTTTGAAGTGTAGATTTAAATAAGAGGAGTTATACTGGGATAAATATCATTTTAGGGTTTGAATTTATAAAAATGCACTTAATCAGAGATAATAGCTTCATAGCAGAGATATAACTGGAGTTTCAGAAAATATCAATTGATAGGGGAAAATTTGCAGTGAAATAAAATGAATGACAAATTTTGAGCTCTGTTTCTCAAGTGTTATACTTAGGGGCCTTCACAGTTTGGGCAGGGGAGAAGGGGAGGAAGGGGAAGTACTTCATTGCTAAATAAGTTTTAGAAAAATTTTAGTAGTTGCTATAGGAGTTCAGAGCTTGTAACTTGTTACAATTTTTAAAGAGTGAATCTAAAAACAAAGAGTCTATGCATGTGTTTTCCCTAAATCCCTAGATTACTTATTTTTGTGTATTTTTCCAAGAAAATATTCTGAGTAGACATATTTGACCTGTTTTAAGTATTTGTACCTTTGAAGTCGTGGGAACTCTTCCCTTCCATCCTCATTATAGCGATAATAATAAATTTGTTGCTTATCCCTAATTTTATACAATTGAGATGGTTTTCTCATGTATACAAGGAGGGTATTGCACCTAACTCTCTGTTCACTACCTGCGTTCTACTAAGTAAAATGTGGTTTCAAACACAATTGCCTTTCAGAAACACCTTAAGGGATTTTGAACAAAATTTTTTGCCTGCTGGCCCCGAAGCTTCTGTTTGAGCAGCTGTACAGCGACCCCCTCAGGATTCTGTATTTACCATCGACACCCAGCCCTCTGCTACAGAAAGACTAAGATCTTTCTGTCAGTACTTTGCAACTTTTGGATTGGGTCTGCATTTGTAGATAGTGGACTGGGCTCAGGGTGCAATTGTGGCTATAAAGCACTTGGGCTGGCTAGCTCTCCAGTCCTGGAGATAGCTGGGGGCACTGCCCTCCAGACCCCACAATGGGACGTACTGGCTGCGCCAGAAGTGGCATGAGACAAGTGTGGCATTGTCGTGCAGTGACCTCTGAGGGCCATACCCAGTTGTTGCACTGGCATAGATGGTTGTGATGCTCACCGGGGGTCCACCCACTGGTTTTGGTGTCCTGCAGAACACATACTTGTGGTGGCCCTACTGGCCACCAATGGTAGTGTCAGGGGTAGAATGGGCCACCACATACCTGCAGCTGCTCAACATCTGCCTTGTTCTTGCTGTAAGAAAAGCAAAGTATTCCCATAGGGGCTGTGGTAATCTTTGAAGAATCTGTCATATTGCAACTGTCATTTATTGGGACCAGGAAGTAGCTCAGCAGCTGGAGGGCAGAGTAGGGGGTGACTGGGGGTGTGTTGGGGATATAACAGTACCACTTGTTTCACTTATTGGATTTTTGTTAAAGGTGTTTTATTCATACTTTCTAAAGAAATGCTAGTTTTATATACTCTTTACCATCTAAGTATATATACTCTCTCATCTGCCAATAACAATCAGACATTTAACCAATAGAGTAAGATTGTATCTCTGGTGCTTTGATTTATGTGAGCCTCATAATAGTTTTTATTTTTTTAATTAAAAAATCTACGTAATGAAATAATTACTAATGGTTTGAGAAGCAACTAGTCTTAGCTCGTTGAATAGTACTACACTAGCACTCGTACATAGATGTGTATGTGTGTGGTGCCAGGGACCAAGTCTAGGGTCCCACACATGCAATTTGGAACGTGCTCTACTACAGAGCCATATCCCTGACCCTCACAATAATATATGAAGCACTAACCAGTCATACTTGGAAATATGTAGAAATAATAAGTGTATTTATTTCTATGTATTGACTGGTTAGTGAAATAACAAAAAAAATAAATGGGTTTGCACTGATCCATTAGAAAATTAGGAAAAGGATAGCAGCTTTGTTTTTTTTTTCAAAAAGGAAAACATTGTTAGAGGGTCTTACCAACCATGGCGCGTGTCTGAGAGATTCATTAAAGGGAATCCTCTGGACACTTGTGCTGTCTAGAGATCACAGTGCCTATGGGCAGAGCTCCGTTGGGGCTGTAAAAGCCAAGCCACCACAGTTGAAGAAGGAATGTAATACAAGAGAAAACCAATGCTTTACATTTGAAAGTAAGAGATAATTTTGAGCGTGTGGTTATTGCTGATTTGTCATTTTATTTTCAAAATGAACTGGTTCTTCTGTGGAAACTCGTCAGAAGTAGGTCCCCTATCTTAATTCGGACTTCTCTTGATTTTTCTTTTACAGCTATGAAACCTGCGTAGTTGCACATTGGGTGCTTCTTTTGGGCTTGTGATGAGGAGCAGAGTTTGGCCCTTGAGTGCTCGGAACCAGAGGCCCTGCCGAGGACTCGGAGCCCAGCCCTGACCACTGGAGAGCCCACAACACGATGAACAAATTGAACTTCCATAACAACAGAGTCATGCAAGACCGCCGGAGTGTGTGTATTTTCCTTCCCAACGATGAATCTCTGAACATCATCATAAATGTGAGTATTTAAAAATGTGCAGCTGCTCAGTTCCCAGCTGTGGCCACTTTAAAGTGTGATTAGGGCAAAATTATTTCAGAAGGAGACAATTGATAATATAGCAGAATTGAGGTGTTAAAGTTGTCATCACAGGTATAAACTTTGAATTATGTCTTCATTGCAGCTAGCTGCCTTCAGCATTCTTTCACCTGGGAAAAAATTAAAGTAGTTTGATAATTGTACTATAGAGAAGTACAATGCTACTTTAGAACTCGTTACTGAAATACAAATTTTGTTGGTACAAAATATGAATTTGCTTTCAAATGCTTCTCAGTTGTCACCTATCTACATTAAATGCTAATAATTACTAGCTCTTTCATAGAGGTCTTGATTGTTCAGCCAATTTTAAAAATAGGCTGTGTGCTTCAGGACAAAGCCGTTTTGCTTGGGTTCATGAGTCAGAGTGAACTGACTCTGAACTCATTCATGAACTGAACTCATACATCATGACCAAATGGGATTCATCCCAGGGCTGCAAAGATGGCTCATTCAGGATGCACAGATAAATCAGTGTGATATACCACATGAGTAAAAGGAAAGACAAACCATATGATTATCTTCATAACAAAATTGGACTGAAGGAACATATCACAATATTTTAGAGGTCGTTCATATATAATGGAACCATAGCAACAGCATACTTAGTGGAAAGAAATGAAGACCTACCCTCTGCTGTCAGACACAGGACGAGGAGGTGCTCTTCAGCATATCATTGGAAGTCTTCGTTGTAGCAGTTAAACAATAAAGAGACATCAAAGAAAGTTTGATTGGTAAAGGATCACTATTAACAGATGACATGATATTGTACGTAGAAAATCTTAGAGACTTCATTAGAAAAAATATCCTAGTGGGGCTGGAGTGATAGCACAGCAGGTAGGGCATTTGCCTTGCACGCGGCCAACCCACGTTCGATTCCCAGCATCCTATGTGATCCCCGAAGCACCACTAGGAGTAATTCCTGATTGCAGAGCCAGGAGTAACCCCTGTGCATTGTTGGGTGTGACCCAAAAAGCCAAAAAAAAAAAAATCCTAGAAACAAATAAATTTGCACGGTAAAGTAGGAGCTAAAAAAAATCAATAAGGTAAAGGTAAAGGCCCTCCAGTTGTTCATCGATTTGCTCGAGCGGGCCCAGTAAAGTCTCCATTGGACACTTTGTTGTTATTGTGTTTGGCATATCGAATATGTCACGGGGAGCTTGCCAGGCTCTGCCGGCGGGCGAGATACTCTCGGTAGCTTACCGGGCTCTCCGAGAGGGGCGGAGGAATCAAACTCGGGTCGGCCATGTTGGCTGCGTGCAAGGCAAACACCCTACCGCTGTGCTATCGCTCCAGCCCCAAGAAAAGGCCTACAGCACCCGGTATTCTCAGGCGGTCTCCCATCCAAGTACTAACCAGGCCCGACCCTGCTTAGCTTCCGAGATCAGACGAGATTGGGCGTGTTCAGGGTGGTATGGCCGCTTCGGCAGCACATATACTAAAAAAAAAATCAATAAACGGAAAAAATCTATTGCATCCTTATATGCTAGCAGTAATATTGAAGAGAAGGAAATAGAAATTATTATCTCATTTATGATTGTATCAAAAACACTAAAATCAGAGCTTCTTTGGAAAATGGTAGGGAAATGTCTCGAAAGGTTAAGACTAGGGGGCTGAGCAATAGTATAGCACATAGGGCTCTTGCTTTGCATGCCACCAACCTGGGTTTGATGCCTGGTAACCCATATGGTCCCTGAACCCCACCAGGAGTGATCCCAGAACTCAGGATTAAGTCCTGAGTACCACTGGGTGTGGCCCCCAAGCAACAAACAAAAATTAAGACTAGTGTTTCTTTTTTTTTTAAATACTTCTGGGCATCTCCCCCCAAATATAAAAAACTTTCATTCAGAAGGACACTTGTTTCATTGCATCATCATTTACGGTAAGTGACATCTGGAAATGATCCAAGAGTCCAGAATAGATAGTTAAGAGGTTAAAGAAATTTTATCAGTGAAATTTTCATAGATGTGTTTGTATTTATGTACAGACCTAAAAGAGATATAAAACCTTAGTGAGATCAGGTGGGTAAACGGAAAAACCAGTCTAACTTCATGAAGACTATTAAGCACCAAGTATGATTTTCAGAGAAATTAGCTTGCAATGGAATTTCAGCTGAAGAAAATAATTTTGGTGAGAGCACACTGGAGGAGAGTCGATTCATCCTTGTAGATCAGTAATTTTTTTTTTTTCTTTTTGGTCACAGCCAGCAATGCTCAGGGTTTACTCCTGGCTCTGTACTACTCAGGAATTAATCCTGGTGGTGCTTAGGGGGACCATATGGGATGCCAGGGATTGAAGCTGGGTTGGCTGCATGCAAGGCATAAGCCCAACCGGCTGTACTACTGCTTGGCCCCAAGTCAGTGATTTTAAAAACTTGACCATACATTAGAATTATTTAGGGAGATTGTTGAATACTCAGATTATTGGACTGCACTCTTTGGAGATGTTCATACAGTTTGTTTAAGGTAGAAGAACATAGGAATAGGCATTTAACAAGATCTTTAAACAAGTGCTATAGATTCTTTAAAAATCTTAGACCACACAGGGCCAGACCAGTAAATCAGCACCATCTAGTTTCTTTTATGCCACCATTTCCTGGGTGTGATATTTGGCTTTGTATCCTTTGACCTATGCTTTGAACAATGTGCGAAACATAGTAAATATTGGCTGTTCTTACTTTAATAATGTAGTTATCATCATTACAGAGAAATTTTGTAAGATTCTTTTTATGTTTGACTCTATCGGTACTAGTTTTGTGACCTTTCAACCAGTTACTTAATCACCTTCACTTATAAAATCAATTTGCCAAAGGCATGGCCCCAAAACAAGCAAAAAGAAAACCAAGTTGCCCACTACCTTGGACACAGTAGGTCTTCAGTTTATATTAGCTCTCATTATGAAGAATAACAGCAATAAAAAAGCAGAAATGGGAGTGGAAAGGCTTATATATGTGAGTAGACTTAACACACACATATTTGAATTCAAATCCCATGACTGAATGGCTTTTGGAAAATTAATTATGCCACCCCTGCCTCAGCAGTTACGCCTATAAAAACAGATGAAATACCCGTGCTTCAGGATGATCATGAGAATTAAGGGTTGGCCCATTAGCATATTCCTTGTCTGCTGTATAATAGCTGCTATATTATTTCAATTCCTCCTAGTCAAAGATTAGTTCCAGACTCCCAGACTTTATGTCTTTTGCAAACCTAGTACAAAAATCTCTACAGGATGGTCAGGATTATGGTCACAGACTGGTAAAGCAGTATATCATCATGATTAAAGAGGGATTTAGAGTCCCAGGGGCCTAGGTAGAAATATGTCGTTCTCGACTCATTCTGCAGTCTTAGAAACTTGGGGCATGGGGTTTCTTCAATTTCGTTATCTTTAAGGTACAGTTAACCTTGCTCCCCTCACCAAGACAGCTTAAGAATGTAAAGATACAGCCTACATAAAGCATATATTACAGTGCCTTGCAGCTGAAACTGCTCAGTAGTGAACATTCATCAGAGGAATGCTTATTTTAATCTCTCTACACTGTTTGCTCCTTCCATTAGGGTGCTCTGTTAATGAAAGTCAATGGAGAGCCTGAATCCCATGTAGACTTGTAAGATTTTCTATTCCCAAATCAGGTAGACTCCTTTGCCACGTCCCAGATTCCTCTCTGCTAGGTAGTTGGACTAAAAGAGGGTACAGGGGA